TACTGAGTTAGGGACAACGTCAAAAGATCAATGTCGGATAAAAAACTTAATTCCTTTAGTTTTTTTCCAAACCCCCCACCCCCCACTGAAACTTAATTGATAAATATTGGTCATGACTACATTCACCATTAAATACAAATTGATAATCGAACAGTAGTATTGCGTAGCAGTTGGTTGTCGGGTGGGTGTAAAAAGACTTTACAAATGCACCTCATTTGACGCACATATTTACACTCGGACAAAACCATTTTCTCGTCTTGGATGTATTTTTTTTTCATTTTCTGTTATTTCTGTCAATGATTGGATAGCAAAAAAACGAACTACAAATACTCCAAGATTTTTTTTTTGACTTCATTAAAAAATAAAATCGTTTTTGTAGGATGGAAACTTTTTGAGGTCAAAACCCCCCACCCCCAAACTAAAGCAACTAAGTTTTTTATCCGACATCGATCTTTTGATGTCGTCCCTTACTCACCTATCAGAACTCACACTATTTATCACTCCTACAACTGCTTAGAGTTACTCACCTGTCAGAACTCACACTATTTATCACTCCTACAACTGCTTAGAGTTACTCACCTGTCAGAACTCACACTATATTTATCACTCCTACTACTGATTGGAGTTACTCACCTGTCAGAACTCACACTATATTTATCACTCCTACTACTGCTCACAGATTCCTCAGTATCACTTGAAGTAACACTTGTCTCTTTCACTGGATGTTGCCGATGTTGATTATTGATTTTATCTTGCTCAGAATCCGTTGAATTTTGACTCTCATTTCCTTGTTTATGATGTAGTCTCTGTCGCCTTTGTTCTTCCCGTTTTCGATATTCCAGTTGTCGCTTTTTGGTTTCTTGTTCTTTTTTCCTGACAAATAATATTTATCAATAAATATTCAAAATTATATTAGCTGGAAACTGCTAGATTAACAAATATTATGAATATGTATGACGATTTGATTAATAAGTATTTATTATACATCTGTCACCGTAACGCCACAAGTTACAGCGTGCCGTAATTTGGTGGTATTTTACGGGGTATTTTCATCCTACCATATAAGGAAATGAAAATTCCAAATATGGAATGATTACGTGTGTAAGTGTTCTCTAATAATAACAAACATGGCTGTCATCGGGGTTTGTCGGACTCTAAAAAAAGAGGTTCGCTGATTCTGTTCTAAACTTTTTGTAATTCGGCATTTCTATGGTGTATCCTTGGAAGGAAAAGATGTATAATAATAAGGTTATTACGAGGATACCTCAAAGTATGCACTCAGACAGTACGCAGTCACATTAACCTCCACTATGCATCGGTCGATACTCCTACTGTACTGTATTCATGCATACTTTGAGGTATTCTCGTAATAACCACATATTATCACATAACACAGAAGTAAAAAAAATACCTGGTTGTTGGACAACCACACTGAAAAACTGGTTGACCTTTGAACCCCAAATTAAAATTTACCAAATAAACCTAAATAATCTTTGGTGGTTAAAATGTCAGTCAAAGTCATGTTAGAAACACTAATTACAGACTAATCCAAAAAAATTATAAAACTATTGCTAATTTTTTTTTCAGAAAGAATATAGGTGATACCGGTACTACTTGTATGAAACACTATTATATTGAACTTTGTAATATGGTTTCAGATTTGTTGTATTTAATTTCATTGTTGCCTCAATGGGGCATACCAACAAAAACCAATTATTACTCAGCCCTGTTCAATATTGTGCCAATGTGACAAATACAACACATGTAAAAAAAAAACATTGCTTGTTTACAGAAATTACTGCACGACCACCATCCTTTAACCAATTACATTACATTATTCTAACATATTTTGTTTTCAACTTTACCAATCAAATACTGATAGATCAGCAACTTAATCATTTCATTTATTTTGGGTCAGTCAAATGCAATTTACCGGTACATGTCAGGTGACCTAGCCCTAAGCACTGGTCTTGTCCAAAGTACAAAGGGGCCACCACTTCACCACAATTTGCAATTTATAAATATCTAATGCAAGGTATGGTAACCTGTATCATAATTTGTGCCCTTTATTTAACCCTAAGCTTGGCAAACCATTATAAATCAAGTTACAATTAATATGATGTTATTTCAACTACATTGACATCAATTCGATTGAAGTCATTCAAAATGCAACTTTATATGGAGTCACAATTTAGTTGAGTTTAATTTAACTGTCTTTATACATCGGATTGTAATTTAATTTCAAATAGCAAATCATAAATTACAAATAACATGTTATACACAGTTTATTCAAACAAAACAAACAAAATCATTGCTTACAGTCTAATTATTACTGTATCATCACAAACAAATCTATGATCAAACACGACACACAATTTCAACAATGTTTTGAATTTACTAGTTTGCCTGTACAAAAATTGATTTCTATCAATATGCAAACATAGGTTGTTGTGCAAACCCTTCCTATGCATATGCACAGTTCTGGAGACAATTCCCTATTGTATGTACCCCTAGCGATTATGATACACAGGTATTCATAGGTATTCTTAGTATGATTATTATAGTACAAATGTGACATCGGCAAATATCAAAAAAATATCAATTCCAATGTGATCATGTGACAGTGTGGTCATGTGACAGTGTGGTCATCAACTTACTTTGCTGCATCTTTCCTAAGTTGTTCATGTTTCATAAGAAGTTTCTTACGTTCCAGGAATGTTTTTCTAACAAGATAACCTCGATAGTGTGCCTATAAGAACAGGATGAAAGGCAATTAAGAGTAAGAAAACTTGGCATGAAAGTACAGGCCTCACAGTTGTCCAGGTATATTGTTTGAATGAAATGAATATCTAATTAAAAAATGGAAGACAACTCGCTAGACATTTGGCTGTTTTGATAAACATTTACAACCAGACATTTTAATTCCAGCAATAAGTTTGAGGCAAAATGTAAATATAATCCAGGTCCCTTTTCAGATAGAAGTTTTTAACAAGCAGCCTCTCGGCTGGGATAGCGCCGCTGTTAGCAATGCACATTTCAATTAAAGAACAGAAGATATCATTAGAAAATGAACAATATGTATAGTATCAAAACAATGGGACTTGCTGTTTTCAACAAGGAGTCAAAAATGTTACTTTTCACCAACAATGACAAAAATAATCATCAAAATTAGATAATTGAAAATATCACCACGAAATTAACAAATCGGAAAAAGGTCCACATGTAGTACCTATATATGTAATATCAAAACAATTGGACTTGCGGTTTTTAACAAGAAGTCGAAAATATAACTTTTTACCAAATATGACAAAAATATTCACCAAATTTAGAGAATTAAAGATATCATAACAAATTGAACAAATCTGAGAGAGGTCCACATGTAGTACCTATATATGTAATATCAAAGCAATTGGACTTGAGGTTTTTAACAAGAAGTCGAAAATATCACTTTTTACCAAAAATGACAAAAATATTCACCAAAATTAGAGAATTAAAGATATCATTACAAAATGAACAAATCTGAGAGAAGTCCACATGTAGTACCTATATATGTAATATCAAAGCAATTGGACTTGCGGTTTTTAACAAGAAGTTGGAAATGTCACTTTTTACCAAAAATGACAAAAATATTCATCAAAATTAGAGAATTGAAGATATCAACATGAAATGAAAAAACCTAAGAGAGGTCTACCCAAGGTACATATACACCAAGTATCAAAGCATTCAGGCTTGTAGTTTTCAAGGAGAAGTCGAAAAAGTAAAACATTGACACGGACGACGGACAATCACTCATATGATAAGCACCGCTCGACAAAGTCGACAGCGGAGCTAAAAACCAACTGCCCTTATTCAAGTTCTAATAACAGCACATGTCTGAGCCCCGCCCCCTTTCATATTTGTATGTGTCACCCACCAAATCCACATATATATTTAACAAGTACATCACACTATAACTCTGCCACCTTCACAGAACTTTCACAGTGTAGTGGGTAATTTGTGTTAAATTTTTTCAAAATTTTAATAGTATGTTATAAGATAAATAAGAAAAAAAAAGATAGTAGTTTATGTTTTGTGGTACAACATTCCAATTACTCTAAAGGGGTTAACTATTCACTGGGTTTTAATTTTGCTTTTAAAATGCGCTAAATTAAAACCCAGTGAATACATAAAATTTAGCATAGAACACATTATCTGAATGATAAAACCGTGAATTTAAAAACCCACTGAATATGCCTGAAATGGTAAATCAGCGAAATTTAAACCCAGTGAAAATTAGTCATTTTACAATACGTACTGCATATATATAACCCTTCATTATGCTTAACGTTTTTCGTTAATCCATGCTGGAAATTCATGAGAATGTATGTCACTGATGTCATCTACTGTAAAGTTGAACATGGACATCTTGTTTGGAAAAAGCACCTTACTGTATACAGCATTTTGACCATAGACCTCTTTTTTACGTAAGAACGTGATACACTAAATCAAGCAAATAAAGAATACAGTTACCTGAATTTTGGAAGCTACTAAGTCTCGAATCCCGGTGATGGAGAGAGCTCCTTGCTCAATCATATACTGAGCAACATCGTGATGATCATTCAATAAGGCGTAGTCTAACGGAGTAAATCTGTCTTCGTTGAACTCCATGTGATTCGGGAAAGCTTTGTATTCGAAGAGAAGTTTGATGGCGTCTAAACAACCTGAGCTGCATGCCCAATGTAATGCTGTCATTCCCTGCAAGTTAATATGAGGTTATTATGGGGATACCTCAAAGTATGCACGAAGACAGTACAGTATCGACCAACACGCAGCGGAAATTGATGCGCTGCGTACTGTCTGAGTGCATACTTTGAGGTATTCTCGTAATAACTTTATTATTATACATCTTTCCCTTCCAAGGATACACCATGGGAATGCCGAAATTCAACATGTTTAGAACAGAATTAGTGAACTTCTTTGTGTGGAGTCCGGTCAAACTCTGGTGGCAGCCATGTTTGTTTTTATTATTAGAGGACGCTTACGCCTAGAATCATTCCATATTTGGAATTCGCATGCTATAACTTTGGCGTTACAGTGAGAGATGTATAATAATATATGATAATAATATTAAAAATCAGTGACAGAATTTACACTATTTCTGTAAATATATATAAGAACACATCAGGTTAGATATCCCAGATAAAGCCCTTCACCCTGATTGTACCAGCCCCATACATTTTTAAAAACTTATTGTTATTAAAGTGTTGAATATAGCGCTTTAATATCAACTGTCAGCATTTAACATTACCTCATGGTCCTGTAAATTTGGATCAGCACCGTTCTCCATCAATAACGACATACAGTTGATGTAGCCACCATAAGCAGCACATTGTAATGGTGTCCTACCAACGTGATCACGCACATCAACACTAATGCCATGTTTCATTAGTGTCTCACAGATCACAGCATGGCCACCGAGGGCAGCCCTAGAAAAATTAAAGTATAAACGTGAAAGTATTTTGATTATATACAAATATACAGGGTTCATTATTCTGGGTAGGTTCGAGGTCTCGCTCAGGTTAAGTTAGGATAGTGGAAAACAAATTTGCAAGGTTTTAACTTTTCCTGAACCCAACTTTTGTTCAATGTTGTGAGACAAAAGGTAATCATAAAAGGAAGTAAAAACTGGGGTTCTAAAGATATAGAGAGTCACAGTGACTTTTCACAGAATCAAAGTTGGAGATCACTTCCGCTGTAAGAAAACAAAGTTACAAAAATACTGAACAAGCAAAAGATCTATAAACCAGATATTCCACAGGAGAGTTCCATCATCACATGGTAGTTTATAACACATAGTCACTATAGCCCTATAAAAATGTGAACTACTCTGTTATCAGTGCTTAAACTTCCAAGCTAAACAAAAATCAACCACATCAATAACTACCACTATGCTTAGAATAGTCGGTTGAAAAACTAACTCACCAATGCAGTGGTGTTCTGCCATCTTGATCTGCTATATTCACTTTAGCACCACCTTGAAATGAAGTGAAATAAACATGGTTAAAAGAAAATTATTATACATGTAAACTGTTTTACCGGTAACTGCTAGAAATGATGGTCATTTTAGAATTGTGATTGTGAAAATAAAATTTAGCAAAAGTTAACAAGACTCCATGTTGTTGGACCCCAGAAAAATTGACACTGTTAATTTATTTTCAAAATGGCCACCAGTCAACATATTTTCAGAAAAAATTACCATTCGTTAATATTTTAATCATTTCTAAACACATTACCCTGGGTGAAGTACCATTAAACTTACATCCATCAATATTTTAACCACTTTGAAATACCCTGGTGAAGTTGGGTCACACTTACCAGCCATCAATGTTTTAACCATTTTTAAATACATAACCCTGGGTAAAGTAGTGTCAAACTTACCATCCATCAATGTTTTAATAACTTCTAAATACATAACCCTGGGTAAAGTAGTGTCAAACTTACGATCCATAAATTTTTAACCATTTCTTAATACATAACCCTGGGTAAAGTAGTGTCAAACTTACCATCCATCAATGTTTTAACCATTTCTTAATACATTATCTAGGGTAAAGTAGTGTCAAACTTACCATCCATCAATGTTTTAACCATTTCTTAATACATTACCCTGGGTAAAGTAGTGTCAAACTTACCATCCATCAATGTTTTAACCATTTCTTAATACATTACCCTGGGTAAAGTAGTGTCAAACTTACCATCCATCAATGTTTTAACGACTTCTAAATGTCCCATTTCACAAGCCCTAAATAGTGGTGTGTGTTTCATCATATCACAGGCATTCACATGGGCACCATGCTACAACAACAGGGAAAAGCTTTTATTATTTGACTTGTTATATATTGTCAATTTTTGGCACTATCTACACAATGATTCTGTATAGTAAATACAGTATATATACCAAGTAAATGTTTTATACTTACCGACATCAATATTTCAACTGATCTGG